GTTTGGATCAGTGTACAAGTATAGTCCACGGTTCTTGTTCCCATATTCAAATCGGCGACGGCGACGGCGCCGGCGCCACCTGTCAGTCTGTCGCTGTAGTTTTGCACGATCTGGCATAAAAGCATAAAGGCATGGCCCGATCGTGTCTTTACCAGGCTGCCAGTATCGGCCACATGGCCAAGACAGACCGGGAGCCGTTTGGGCCTCCTGTGCGGTCGCCAGCGATGGGACTCCAAGGCGGTCGCAGATTGCGAGAACATTGTTCTCGTTACACAAAAATCATGTTTTATGCGCTTGCCTCATGGAGGTCGGCCGCGTGGCCGGTGTTTGCCACAATGTTGGATTCAATTGCGCATGCGGGCCACACAGAGCTCGCTGGCTGTGCCGCTCGCACGAAGAACAAAGTACTCCTCACGTTGGCCAACACAAGTTCTGGCCAAACTGGCTGAGTTTTTCATTCAGTGTCAGGCCAGAGTCGCCTGTGTTACTTTTTCTAATGACATTCGTGCCGTCTGCCGCCGCGTCCTGTCCTCCTTTCCCTCTTCCCGCCAGTCCTCCCGCTAGCCAGAAACCGCAATGACCCTTACCTCCGCAGAGACATTGTCTGCTTGCAAGGAGGCAGTCGTCCTCCATTCTCCATTCACCAACCAACCTCTCACTCGTATTCCTAAATCAGTAGACGAGAACTCACAAAAGTGCCTAATGCGCCGACGCCCCGCTGAGACGCGTTGCGTGAGCGCGCAGACGCCTTTAATTGAGTTATACTCGTAGGACGAATACGATTGACCCCTGGTGGTGGTACCTTGTCTTGCCTTGCCTTGTCTTGTCTTGCCTTGCCTTGTCTTGTCTTGGCTTGGCTTGTCTAGGGGGTTGGCAGCGGCTTAACGGACCATGTTTTGACATATACTCGCATAAATACCCGAATGACTTTAAGTGATCGCATTTTATTTTGGCTTTCGGTGCCCAAAACGGTTTGGCATGATTTATGGACCCGCTCTCCGATACTTGTATCTGTGTTATCTGTGTGAGGCAGGCGAGGGCTGTCTGGGAGAACTGTCTCCGATAGTTAGACGCCTTCAGGTAGCAGTGGGCAATAGTTCTCACAAGCATTTAATAACGTAATAAATAGCCCAGTGGAGTATTGTTATGGTCAGTCCGGATGACGTCCATATTTATACATACATATATCTATGTACTCTGCCAACAATTTAAAATTAGTTATTCCTCTTTCCATATATACTTGTATTAGCACCCCTTTTCTATACCAGTTTTCGTATTACTTACTTGTATCTAATAAATATATATCTTGTTATGCTGTTTTTTTTTTTGTTTTTTTTTTTTTTGATAGTGCAACTTTCAAGGAATTATATTTATTTTTGGGTTATGATTGCACAATAATATCTGTACTTTTAAAAAATGCCAGTTAATTACATTTAATTTAATATCAAAACATGCAAACGTTGCACATGAAAATAATACAAAAAATCTATTTAAATAAGTATTATTGACGGAAAGAATATTTACTAATTTACTAAAACTGAGTATAATTTAAAAAAAGTTTTAATAGCTATAACTAAATTCTTCATTCTTCTTAACAATTAATAGTGGTTAGGGCTCGTATATAAGTACATATATATGGCAAAGAGTGTGTGATTTAAGAATATTTAAATCAAAACGCGATAATCCATAAAGGTTAATCATTAAAAGCTAACTGTAAATGTTGCAGTTCCCTGCTGCTGCATTTTAATAGAACAGCAAATCATATGGAGGCAGCCGGCTGCCCAAAATAAAAAAAAAAAATACAATCCAAAAATATGATCTATTCAAGTGCATGGCAGTGTATTTTACAGATGGTGCGTTTTTTTCGCAGCCCTATTAGAGTTATTATAATTACCAGTTTAACTAAATCGCTTAGTAACTTCGAACAGAATATTTTTATTTGAAAATTATTCAGTATTTCAGTTAAAGGTTTTCCTGTTTAAATGAAGGAAACGAACTGTTGATAAATGTTCAAATGTTATGATCCCCGGCAAGTGTTTATAATCTTTCTTTTGGGTAAATTAAAATGATTTTTATTTTATTTTAAAAATTGTTTAATTGGTTGTCTATTACAGTATCTATTTGGCTCTGTCAAAGGCAAGTGAATCCGTGTCGAGGACGTTATTAGATATGATTTTTTGTCAGCTAGAAAGTTACAATTATAACGTATTGTACATTTTTGCTTATGTCGCCTGACATTAATCTTAAGCTACATTTCCCAAGTATTACATATTTAGTACGATGTTGGTAATCGCAACCAAAGGAAACCAGTGTAGTTGCAATTATAAAAGTTGTTTCACCTAGCAATATGAAATTATAGATTGGAAAATATTAAATGAAAGCCTTTTTATGACGTTATACACTTTATTTTTAATATAAAACATATCTGTTATTGGCAGATGCGTTTTCCATATTTTTGAAAAAATTTTAAATTTCACTTCTTTCTTTTTGATTTGTGTAATTGTTGAGTTGTATTCATTACAAATAACTTTAGTTGATATTCCACAATCGTCATCTCTGTGTTACGAAAAATGTTGATAATGAAAGATAATTTCTTTAATGCATAAGCAAAAACGTTGTAAGCAAAAAATGGGCTGTTTGTGTAAACATAAGAATATAAATTAATAAGGAGGAAAGAATCACAAATTACCAAGACAAAGGAAATTAAATTGAAGAATTAAGTTAATTCTTACATAAAGTTGCTATTATCGAGGTAATTGTTTTTGAGGATATTATTTGTTTATAAGTATTATTAGTTAAATGACCAACCATTGTAGAAGAGAAGGAAAATAACAAAAATTAAACTGCTTTGCTAGAATGTCCAGTTTTCAGAGCCATCGTTTCTTAGTCTGGCGAAGTTTTTCTCTCAACTGTGAACTCCTAGTTGCAAACTCTACTGAAATGGGTGTTACAATCCAATACATTTTTCTCATTGGACGTTCCAATCGGAAGGTAAACTAGAATACAACGATGGTCTTCAAATCACAATTGTCGAACGATTGAAAAAATTTGAGCAAATACATCGCCCGCCTGAAAGTATGCAACGATCTATGTCGGTTCTGCAAAGTGAAGCATACTTTTAGTATAACAGTTTTAAAATGTATCCGTTAGAGTTTTATGATCAGCTGAATTACATTTTCAAGCTCCATGATCGAGCAGAATTCTGTTATTAGCCAAGTTAACGTTTCATCCTAAAGCTAACGCATTCTGCGAATTCACTCGAAGGCCTCAATCCCAACACTATGCTGAGTTCGTAAAATACTGGCGTTTTGTAGAAGCGCGTGAACTGCGTGAACTAACGAACAAATTTTTGATTTGTAGCATTAAGTAAATAAGCTTCTAATTTAAGAAGCTTACATTAATGTTGGCGGACTCAACAGATCAATACAAAAGTTTCGGTGCAGACCACATTTGTAACGTCTGTTAAAATGAAACTGATGTTTTATTTTCATCATATTTTACACGCAATGAAATAAACGAGGTTTTTATATTCTATAGCAGAAGGGTTAGTAGAAAGTCTTAAAGCCAAATGTGTTAAAGAGCCAAATAAGGGAGGAATGTCGAAGGTTCATATATCATCTGTCCACTCGTAGCCTGCAGTGAACTCTTGAGTCATTACAGGGTGGAGAGCAAGTTTATCATATATAGCCGACTATAAAATATTTATATAACATACAAGTTCGAAATTTTGCTTGTGACCGTTTTTTTAAACATACATAAATCATCATATAGTATATCGTATAGCTGTCATATTCACGATTGGCTAAGTTTAGTTGAATGATTGCAGTGGAGCGAGAATCCAGTAAAGCTTATGTTCTACGTCGACGGTCTATTTGATCCAAAATTTATACTATATTCCTCGTAATTCCTAACTGGTTTTATTTTGTGAAGTAAAACGTGGCTATGAATAGGTTACATATTCATTCAATATACAAGGCGATGGGAAATTATGTATGTAAAATTAGTTTTCTTTCTAAAATGTATTTTCTAGCAACTTCGTCAATAATCAAGTAATTTCTATTAGAATAATGAATTTAATATTATTTATTATCGTCAAAACTGAATGATGGGCAAGGCATGGATGAACTAACGATCAGTATAATTGACTAAAAGTTATGTTTTATAATTTAAAATGCATTAATGATGGTATCCATTTCTTTCTATGTGTTATTAAGAATAAATAGGTAATGTAGATAAATTGATGATGCCATCAAGCATGAATTATATTACATTATAATTGGCTCTGGTTTGCTTACAAGTATCTACATAATATTGTGTACAAATTGCAGCACTATCACTTGTTCTAGTTGTTCGCTTTACACAAAAATTACAAAATATTACATATACTTATATTAGGTTAGCCTTATTATTTAGCTATTTAATGTATTTTTCATTCTAATTTTGATTCGATCAAAAGATTCGGGTCTCTTAACTAAAAAGGGATTGTGGAATATTTATAGATGGAAGGTCGAGCAATAAAAAGAGTTTTCGATGGTGCAAAGAATCTATAAATTTTTAAAAGATACTATTTTCAGTTCTTTATTTATAATCGATTTATATTATATTTATAGTTTCTTTCTTTCGTCAATATTTATTTGAAGAGTACGAAAAGTTATATTTTGAATTTGATAAAAATTCATATCAGACAATAGGTTAAAATTTTAGGCTATTTTCGAACAGCGTATTTTTATTTCTAACTTGATATCCAGAGTGAGGAATCAAATTTTAATCTCAAAGAGAGTTTTAACTTAATGAAATAGTTAAATGTTTTTATATATTATAATTATTACTCGAAATGTGTTTTTATTTTAAAAATAACAGCCATAAATTTTACCAGTCTTTAAACTAAATTTTGTTGTCAATAAATATTTTATAGGTACTATATAATAAAGTTTTACAATTCATAATTAAGTATTGTATAGTTGTTGTTTAGTAAACATGTGCAAATATTTTGTCTGATCCTTATCTTTATTCTATATAAGCAATGATAAAGTGCTTTAAAAGAGTTCGTTGTTTCTTTACATAGGTTTCTTGAAAAAGTAAAATTCACAAATATATTGTTAATACATAATTATATTTAATGCTCAGTTTACTGTTTCGAATAGTTTTTTTTACATGATATACCTAATTTAGAAATTTTTAATACAATTTCTGTAAGGAAAGTTTCGGTGTTGGCTTAAAATATATTTAGTATTTTGAAAATTCCTTTGTCCAGCAGCGTGTTGATATGTTTTTTCATGCGAAGCTTATCGGTAGATTTATGAATTCCTTCCTGATACCCAATATCTGTAAATAACAAAAGAAGCTTAATTTTTGCTCAAAACCGATGTTAATCGTAAATTAAATGTCAATGCACCAACCGCACTTTACGAAGGCCAAGAGTCAGACAGGAGGGCATTACGATCTGTAAAGATTAGAAGATAATAGTAGGAATTAGGCGTGACTCTCAAATTGGGCAATATTTCAATGCCTGATTTATAATTGCAATAAAAACTATTCTTTGCACATCTGTACGAGTATGCTATATTTTACATTCTTCAAAGCACTCTGCTTGGACATTCTCCCATTGACAATGATCGGCTTGGAACAAAATGCCATTTTATCGCAGCAGCTGAGAGCTGAGTAACCGTGTAAAAGCTTTAAAGTCGTTGGGGTCATTAACAAAAGACCAAGAGTGCTTTCCATTACATCAAAGACGTCTCCACACTCCGATCCAGACAGTTTGTCTGCCTTGGCTGCCTAATGTATGCGTATGGCATTCAGGCATCTGTCGCCCAGAGCCGCGCGGGCGATAAACATCTTACCCAATGGAATGAAAATGAATGAATCAATTTCAAAACAAATACAGGTCTTTTTTCTTTTGGTTTGTGGTAAAAATTAAGAACGCATTGGGATTTGTGTTTCACCAAATCCGAAACATCAACGAGATCAGCCCAAAGATAAAGATTTCCGGTCAAGTCAAATAAAGGCAAGCGCATCTCAGCGACACTAACGGCAAGAAAAAAAGCACACTGACGAACTGAATAAGATCTTTCGTAGTCCTTCGTATATACCTTACGGAATTCTGTTGATATTTTAACTTATTTTATTTCACATATGTTAATCACAAGGAATTATAAAATAATGGGGAAACGGAAATCGGGAAAAATTTTGTTGCATTTTATTTGGAATTAATATCGCAGCAAATATAAATTTATCAATAAATAAATTTATCAGATTTGAAATCATAATTTTTTGAATAATTAAAAATAATCTTTCGATTAGATATTTTAGAAAAGAAGAAACCTCTTCAAAGTTGTTCAAAATGTTCCAAAGCACAAATTTGATCTAATAATTTATCAGACCCACATATATATAGTCTTGATCAGTACGACAGTCGAGTTAAGGATCGCAGAAAGTACAACAACAAGAATAACCAAACATGGTATCCAGGTGCGCCAAAGCCCTAGGCAGATCAAGTTTGGTTATTTTTTCTGATACACCAACTAAATTTCGAAACAAAGAAGTCTATTAATAACTAACTAATTTAAATGAAGAGAAAAATTAAAAAAATAAAACCAGAATATCAACGAGAAATGAAAATAAATAATTTCGACAACATTCAGGATCCAAAACCAATTTCAAGACATTTTTAAATATACATATGTATATATTTGTGATGGTGAAATATTATTTTCCTTATAATTGTAAGCTTTCTTGAAAATATCATTAAAATAAAGAAAGGGACTTATACTAACAAGCTAACCAGCTCAATTTTGTGTGCCACGTCTGTTGGTTTTGCGGCACGCAATTCAAAACAAAAGAACTCGTAAATGAAGTCCCAATATATTTGAGATGCTGGACGGCAGAATAAACCAAATAAAAACGTCGCTTGCCATCCGTTCCCCACACTTCAAAACCGGCTAATTAATGACGTTGCTCGGTCCGTTCCCCACTCCACCTCCACTGTTCCCCTGAAGTTCAAGTCAACGAGTCGAACAGTCGAAGAGTCGTTGAATCGTTGAGTCGCAGAGCTGGCCAGTGCGGTGCCATTTTTGTTTACTTTGGTGTCGTAAGTGCCAATAAACACGTGATTTACTTCAGCGACGACCAAGTTGGCAGGAGAAGTGTTCACTGTGTGTGTGTGTATGTTTGTGTGTGTGTGGACTCGTGTGTGTATCTGTATGTGCGTGTGAGCGATGCAGCCAAAATCATGAGGCTTATCGCCTCCATCGGCCATCAAGATGCCGCTCATTAATTTTAAAATTAGGCGCGTTTTCGAGCAGAGTAAATGATGAAGAAGAAGAAGCAGGGCACAAATGACGTCCAGTCTGAAAGCCCGAACTCCAGGCCTACTCGTATCAAGCTAGGGCCCCGGCTTGCTGCATTTTACCGCAAGCGAACGGCCAGGGCTGCCATGAGTGCATAAATTAATTAAGTCGGTCGGAATGTGAATGTGTCGACCTTTTGTCTGGCATTGTGGCCGCCTCGAACGGTTGGCGGCGGCCGGAACGCGATGGCGGCGACCACGAGCGGAGCGCCCACTCGTCTGCCTGAATGTTGGTGCCCCAACCGGCTCATAGCATGTTATAAATTAAAAACTGCGGCTGCTCCTTTGTGCTGCAGCATCAGCATCAGCGGCTCACTGAGTCATTTGCATACTCTCTATCTCCCTCACTCACACACACGCTCTTTGTGTCGCTATTGCTGTTTTTCTCTCTCCCTCTCCTTCTGACTGACTATGAAAGATGCTGCGTGGGTGATAAATGGCCGAAGAGTCAAGTTGGAACGTTGGAGGTTGGGCCGTCCCACACATTTCCCGACTGTTGCATTTTCAAAAATTTTCGAAGGCTCGAAACGTTCCAACCCCAACAACCCCTTGCTGGGCCATCGCCACAAGATTAGCTGCCGGCCTTTTCCATACAGATAAGTGTGCGCCTTCATCCCTTGGGCTGCAGACCGTTGACTGAAAGCTGTGGGCACTGACGAGGGCCACAAGCCAAAATCAACGCAAATCTAATAGATTCTGATTGAGATTTAATTATTTCATTTAATTTTCTAGCTGACTTCGTGCGGCTCGCTGCGCACTTAACTTCAACGTCCTTCAACGAGTTAATGAAGCGAATAAATTTCTTGGCAATTATTTTGCGGATTGTTTTAATTGACCTCAAGATGTTCGTTCGCTTCGTTGTCGGGCCACAGACATCCGCAATCGGCATCGCTGCAACTTGGGCGGGTTGAAGGAGTAAGTGAATGGGCAGCTAACGAGGAGGATGTGGGAAGCCGCCAAATATCACAGTTTGCATTTGCTGCTAATTAGCTAATTGGCGGCTGGCGAAAATAATTGATTAGCTGTGCGGTTCGATTCATTTCAACTCTTATTTATCTGCCAAAGTCTTTCTTTATCTTCCTAAATTAGGTGTTAAGTTTCCGTACAAAACAGCGTGCTTAAAGAAATAAAGCATTCCTCGATTTCATTAATTAGAGGAATGGCTTGTAAGAATAGGATTTATATCAGCATTTTCCATATACCGCTGTAGCAATAATAATCGCTTAAGGCAATGATCGAGCAAATTTAAGAGAATACGAGTTCTGAGACAAGGAACGATTCAAGGGAATAAAATTCGATTCAAAAGTGGATAAATAAATAAGAGTCCTTTACTAGAGAGACCGCAGAAAAGATCCCTGTGAACAATTCCAGTAGCGTGAATACTTAAGTCTGATTGTAATTACTGAGTCAGTTTTTATATGCAACATTACGATGAAACGAGAGTGCTTCCAAGAATATTACAAGCACATCTGTTATCTGCAGTTTGAAACTATATTTCCAAGATTATTTATAATAACAATTAAGGAATTAAATGTACGAATAATTGCAGAATCTCTAAAATTCACCCACCAAGAGGTCACTAAGGACTCGATCTGCTCGGACCTCGGACTAGTGAGGGAATGAACATGTTCCTGCATGCCTTACATTATGATTGATTGATAAGATAGAGCATTCAGTGGACCAGTAGCGCGTTTGAGTTTTGTAAACAAATTGTTGAATAGCGTTTTAATTTAAGTTACAATACCTTGTCTATCTAAATGGTAATCAATTCCCTATTCATAGCTCTTATACACTAGCATTCTTAGCCCTCATCTAGAAATTTCGTATTCAACTTTTAAGTAACTAGACCCACTGACGTCCTCTATAAAAATGAAGCTTCTTGCGTGTCCAAGAGCTTGCTCCTTGCCCTCATCCTGACGCCGTGTCGAGCTGCCAGCTAAAAGCCGGACGCTTTGTTTATGATGAGTGATTGTTATGAGTTGTCAAAAAGGCATGTGACCCGGCACTGCCATACATAAGAGTGAGTGTGTGTGTGTGTGTTTGTGTGTGCGGCGGCTGTTGAGCAGGAAATCCAGTAGGATTTGTTAGAGTATGCCGCCAACATATGCAAATATGTTTGTCTACACGAGCTAAGGCGACGGCTGGTGACGATGATGATGATGGCGATGGCGATGGAGACGGCGGAGGAGGAGGAGGAGGAGGAGGAGGAAGAGAGCACCACGTGACGTCGCCGCAGCAATGGCAGCAGGCCAATGTTGCCACCATTCGCGGCGACACAAACTTGCCAAAGTGCGCCGACGTCGACGCCGAAGCGCCACGGTAACAATCAACCCTGCTCGATGCTCCGTTGCGCCAGCACTAAGAGTTTACTTTAATGTTTTGACAGTAAAATAAACATACCCAAGTGCTGCTGCTGCTTGTTTGCGTGTGTGTGTGTGTGTGTGCATGTGTGGGTGGTGTGTATGCATATATCGATACACACATGTAGTGCCAGTGTGGGTGTGGGTGAAAGCACATAGATGTCAAATATAATTCATCATCCATATAAGCATCAAAGCCAGTCATCGAGAGAGGGCGATGTGAGTGCCCGGCAAGCGCCTGAAGAGGGCGGTGGGGCGGGGGGTCACACTGGCAAAGCAAAAACAAAGTCGTCAACAGCATCATTATCAAGCAAGCGCGTGTTTTTGTTGTGACGGCCTGCATCGTCGAGCACGTCAAGTCAACTTTTGCTGCCCAGCCCAGCCTAGTCCTGTCCTGACCTGACTGAAGGGCACACGTCAGAGAGGTCGGGGTGGCCGGAGTGGGCGCAGCAACGGGCTCTTGAGTAATTGACACTTGTGCCTGCCTGTCTGATCTGGACATCGAAACTGCCGGGCCCCCTTGGTTGGTTGGTTTTAAGCAGCTTACACTCCTGTTTGGTTGACTATACTATGTCCTAAAGATTTGGCAGACATTTGCAAATACGAGTACTATATGTACTCTTAAATGGCAGCAAATTTCCAGAGCTCAGCCACACAATGCCGAGGGGCCGTTACAAACACACACTTTGGCCGACAAAGTTTCACACGGCGTCCTTTTAAATAATTAATGTCAAT